ACGCCTGATGACATAGATCTGTCTGCGTAGAATCTGACTGCAAAAGACTATAGTGACACTTCTTCCTGTGGGCTATGTCCGACCGCCGTCATCACTGCACCAGCTATGTTATTAGCTTTGGTGCCCAAGCAACTCAAAAACACTCAGTTTTAGCATAACGTTTCCTGCTACAAAGTAACTTCATCTTAGCTAACTAGCAGCCACACGACTGACCTCAGCTCGGAAGCGCTTGCGTCCAGACAGTCACGGTCACCACTTGGACATTAGTCACTTGAACTTGCTTCTCCAGGGCAATAAAGGCAGCCATTAGCACTGGTTCGCTCTCTCTCTCTCTCTGTCACGACCTTACACTGTCAACAAGCTCCCTGGCCTCGCTAATGGCCGCCCCTGCCTGGGACAACAAATCCGACTTCTGTGCACCAAAGCTTCTCAGCCTGCTGTCTTCTGCATAATCCGGCTTGTCGGGACGTGGTCTGACGATAATGGCGTCCCGAGTAACACACTGTTCGAGCCGCTGCGTACTATCGCTCACTGGCTTATCACCGAGACGCCAAAGTCACATCAGAACTTCCCAGTCACCGCCTCCGCCCACTGAATTTCTCCCAACCGGCAGCACGCCACTTTAGCTTGCCTATTAACCGCGACGTCGGCGGCCTTGTCATTTCGGCGATGGTGGGGTGAAGGACCCCGCTTAACTGTCGGTTGACTGTGGATCGCGTAATATGGGGTTTAATCTTGGCATTCATTTGCAGGCCGTTGCAGACAGTTACTTCCCGCGACTTCAAACCACTACCCAAACTCCGTTATTTTTTGAAATTTGTTTTTTATTTATTTTTTTAATTAACGCGCTCATTTTAGTTGCCGCATAAAAGCGTATAAAAAGACTTTCAGCGGACATCTAAAAAATTTCTGTGTTCTACTGCACTTCGTCAGCTTACCGTCTGGCGTTTCTCCCAACCAGTAAAACCCCAATTACCGCCATTCCCGTAGTACAAGATCCACAATCTACCGACATTTAAGTGGGGTCCTTCACCATATCGTCACTATGATGTCTACTGAACTTTTAATGTTCCATCTGGGACAGCTCACACCGCTCTATCTACATGACTTTGTCGTCTGTTCCATGTGCCTAACCTGACATTAACTAGCCGCCAGCCTCGGCAGTGGTACCTACCCAAAAGAGGCAGCATTATCGATTCCGTGTGACAAATGAATCGATAAAAAAACCTTAATTTCTCTAGTCGGGGCTCTGGTTATTACAGACCGACCAAGTTATCACTTGTGTCTTGACTCTGTCTTGACTCCAGATCCAGGGGAATGTGGGGAAAGGGAGTGCGGTGAGTGCTGTGCAAGTCTACACTTACGATAAACTCAGTCACGCACAAGTCACCATCCCTGCTCCATCTTGCTGTGGAGCACACGGTGAACCTCGTCGGTAATGACGGTCGAACTTTCAAGTGATCATCTGTCAATGTTAGCCTAGCCAGTGGCCACAACTGCCTAGGACAGCAAGTCGGGGTTCTGCAAACATAAAACATCCATTCCGCTGCCCCTTCTTGCTAAGCGAGACTTAGTCTGATGATGGTGGTGCCCAAAGTAAGCCGCTAAACGGAGTCAAATCATAATTCAGCAGGGTCTTCTGCTGTCATAAGTTCATTTACCTTCTCCCAGTCATGCAGTTCCGTTGCATTCAAATAAAGACTTTTCGGGACGCAGAAGGTAGACTTAGACCCCTGCCAACTCGTACTCACCGACGCCATGGAACACGGGAGTTGACTGGGCCAAAATCCCGCAGGCAAACGCGGGGCAGTTCGTCACGGGCCGGCTCTAGGGAGCGGGTCGTCAGCACAATCAAGCAGAACTTGCACTAGGTGGCTAACTCATGAGATCTCAACAGAAATCCCAAAATGCGTTTTCGTTTCTAGAAGACTACGTAAGTAGGGTTGTAAAATTCAATCATAATGCAACATAATTCTATGATGATTCAGTAACCTCAGAATGTCGGCTTTCGAAAGAACTTTTTCTTGGCCACATGCAAAAACTATACTCTATAAAAATGACTACTTTAGTAGCATGCAATTTTCGCATTGATTTCTGATGCCCTTAAACATTCAATTATATTAAACAGTAAACATGCATAAAAATATGCATTCTCTTGCTCATTCAGTAGAAAACTACGTCTTTTTGAATTTTAGACTCGAAGGAAGGGTATAATTTGGTTTTGAAAAAGTTTCTAATTGTGCGATTGTTTTAATACCGTGAATTGGCCCTTCATAAAACGTTATGTCAATGCATTTACCATTGTGGCTTGTAAAGTTAACAATATGGCTCAAATCAACGTAATTTTATGAACCCCATATGGTCTCTTCTTAATACCACAGAAAAATATATGGTTTTCCGTACGCGGAAAATATACGGCTTGTAGTTTTGGAATCTTGAGTGAAAGTGTAACGGCAGGTCAGGTTCAAAATTATTCGGGAACTGGAAAAGTTTTATAAAACCAAATTATACCCTTCAGTCGAGTATAAAATTCAATGAAGACGTAAATTCCTACTAAATCAGCAAAAGACTGGATATTTTTGTGCATGTTTTCTATAATGCATAATTAAATCGTTAAGGGCATCGAAAATATATGAAAAAATGCATGCTACTTAAGTAGTCATTTTTTACGGGATATGGTTTTTGGGTGCAGACAGAAAGAAATTTGTTCGAAAGCCAGCGTCCTGGGGTAACAGAATCATTATAGAATTATGCAGCATGATAATTAGTTATACAACCATACTTAATTGATCTATTTGAAACGAAAACGCATTTCGGAATTTCTGTTGAAATTTCATGATTTAGTCCACCTACTGTACATCCGTGCAGTGGTGTCCCAGTTCCGCGCGTCTGCTGCAACACTACATCTCTTCCTGGCCCATACCTGTTCGTACGCGGCAGTGGCAGCAGTGCGTCCGTCGTCCCGGGACTGGCCTGATGCCCTCAACGTGTCTGGCCAATCCCGTGCGATTTTCTGCCGATCACAACTGTTCAAACTGATCAATCAACTCGAGGGCTGATGCGGATAAATCCTCACGCAACGCATCACGAACTGTTTAGAGTTGTTTGAGTGAAGTGACACATCCGGTGCGGACCTAGGATGATGATGGTGTGACTGCGTGACGGGGAAATGGCCGGTGCCCTCCCCTCTGCGTACCTTCGACCCCCTTCCCCGCAACTCACACTAACGTTCGCTTCTCCCTCTTTAAGTCGGCGCATCCCTCGGCCCTCCCCTGCAGTAGCCCTGAGCACTGCGTTCCGCACCGTTTGTTTAGCAGGCATATTAGTGTCGCCTCACCATCCACACATCGTCACTCTTTTTTGTAACTCATCTTGTTTGTACAATTAACTACTATTACATGCATCACCAGTTTCTACCTGTTCTTATTATACCTTTCTGCCAACCTAATGTTTCTCCTTTTCTTTCACGTGGATGAGTATTGTGATGCACTAACGACTCTATCCAGATCGACCTTAACCAGGATCTATTTCTACGGCTTTGCTACTTCGGCGAATGCCATATCACGAACGATAGACTGTGATAAAAATGGTGAAGGTTCGTCTTAGCTTGAAAACGTTAAATAAGTTTCCTGAAACAAGCCGGCGAATTTAACTTTCGAGCAGATTAACCGGGCATGACGACCGAAGTCGAACTTGGTTTCTCCCTGTTAGCCACACTAACTTAGCTTGAATCCTGTCGCATCTGCCCATCTGAAGAAATTAACAATTCCATTTGATGAAGACTCAGAGTGCAGGCTGATAGCTGAGAGGTTGTCGGTATATTGGGTAGCAGTATTTCAACTTACCCATATACAACGGGACATTTTGAAAAGAATATTACATGAAACTTTCCAGGTTTCAGAATTAAATCTAATTTCCTTTCCACTTCGTCACTAAGTATTAGTCGAATTTCAAAAGGCCCATGTGCACTTTCCATCCTTGAGCCTTCCATCCAGAGGGCGAGAACATTCTAATCCTTTTTATTCATCGCTTCAAGGGCGAGATAACATCCACGCCAGCCCCCATTGCTGAGAAGCCATTTGCCAACCCGTAGATTCAGATCATGTACCGCCGCCTCCACTAGCAGTTTTATGGTGTATACCATGCCCGCATCCAACACACTTGTGCAATAAGCCCCCACAAAGGTGATATAAGCCAGGAATCGACCCCAATTAGCCAGTCCATCGCTCCAGATATCCTCCAGCGTACTCATAAAGTCCAGTTTCGCCCGTTCCGGCATGCTCAATAGGAGGGCCTGTCGGTTCTCGAATCGGGGAAGGTAGTTTCGTTCGAATTCAGCAGCACGGTCCACCAACGTGCGCATTATATAACGCAGCATAGTATACTGTTCAGTGCGTCCCCGCTTGTCCATGAACAACTGCAGTCCGTCAAAGCCTCGCTTTGCAATCAGGTAGAGCACATAATCCACGATAATGCTCTCAATCACGTACTCAGAGGGCAGCTTGTCTAGAATGCAGGTCAAGTTGACTACATTCGAGTCCTCTTCGAGTGGACCTTCCAGAAAGTGCCGAGAAATGGGCATTATCGAAGACCCAACTTACAGACTGCGTGCGTTCAGACCCACAACCCCGCCGAGCGGACACGCGTACGAACAATCGATTTTCCGCCCGTGTTTGAAGAAGCGCGTGGCTGACAGGTTTTGCCGGTACCTTGTTAAGGAAGGAGGGTTTGCTGGAGTCATCCACCCGCCAGTGCTTATTTGCGACTGGTACGAAACGCGAAAACAAATGCAGCGATACTTCCGGAGCGTTTTGCGGATGTGGTAGTGGTTAAGGGACATTTTTTCCAAAGCCAGTCTGTGGAGGCGGGCTCAGGTGTTTTGTCATTTTTGTTTTTGACCTGATTCAAAGAAAATCCTCCTTTAATGAAAATGAAAAGGATTCAGTCACATGAAACGATGAGTATTTTTCTGGAAAAAATGGGATTTAACTTTTGCTTTGGAGTTGAAGGTTTACAATCCCCCACCGAGGCGGTCTCTCTGCGACTGGTAATCAATTCCTGATAAGTGTTCACCAACAAAGATGCTGACCAGGCTGACATGGCCATTTCTGGCCTATTGTCAATCATGGGACAGCTGTGCTCCAATCCAGGACTCCGCAAACGAAAATAGAATCCTGCGCCGGTCGCTCATTCTTTGAACGTAAACACTTCTTATTTGCTAACTTCTATTCGCCACGCTACGGCCGATATGAACTGTAGATCCCAAGCACGGAAGCAAAGGGGAAATGCCCGCTTGCAGTAGATTTGCTGCATCAGGAGATGTGAGTCTTACTTCTGAAATGCATTTTCCACTCGAAAAGATTACTTAAGTTGGGTTGTAATATTAATCGCCGTGCAGCATAACCTCAAGGTATCTCAGTTACTTCTTGATGCCGGCTTTTGAGCGAACTCCTTTTCAGCCACCTGCAAGTCTGCGGTTTTTAAAGAGTGACTACTTAAGTAATATTCCTTTTTTCTAATTGATCTTTCATGCCTTCCTAAATGCAAATATATTTCGTGGAAAAGATGCATAGAAATATTCCATCATTTGCTTGTATGTAAGGAAGTTATTTCTTCTTTAAATTTTATACCTGAAGAAAGGATATACTCCGGCTTTAAAAAGCTTTTCTAATTTCCGAATAAATCTGAATCTGGCCTGTCGTTGCATTGGAATTCCGGGTTTCAAAACTACAAGCTGTACACTTTTCTTGTGTGGAAAATCACACATTTCTTTATGCCATTAAGATGAGATTGCATGAGGTTCATAAAATTTGGCAGCGGATCGGAGCTAAAATACACAATTTGCGAGCAACAATTGTAAATGCATTAAAAAGTCTCATAATAAGAGGCCTTCTTAAAACCTAATTGTACACTGCCTTCAAGTACAAAATTTGAATAAGACGTATTTTTCTGTCAAAATGGTAAAAGAATGAATAATGTTATGCATTGTTTCCGCGAAATATATTTAAATGTATATGGGCATCGAAAATCTATGAGAAAATTCGTAATACTTATGTTGCCATTTTTACAGTGTAGTTTTTGCAGGTGGTCGAAAAGGAGCTTGTTCAAAAACCGGCATCCAGAAGTAACTGAATAATTTTGTGATTATGTTGCATGGTCAGTAATATTACATCCTTTCTTAAGTAATCTTTTCGGGCCGAAAACACATTTCAGATTTTTTGTTCACACCACATTAGTTGGCACATCTACTGTGTTCTTGGCCTCAGCCGACATGATGCAGGACCGTTAGTGCTGCAGTGAGAGCGTTGCTGATCATAACTTACTCGGGATTAGAATCTCAGGTGTGCCCTCCAAGATCGGTGTATCGCTGTCTTATTCTGGAATTAAAAAATTTTATCGATGTCCAAATATACCCTTTCACGTTTATAAGCTTAAATACTGCGTAATCTGTTGCCAAAAAGTATGCAAAACTGTATTTTATATTTTTGTATTTATTTTTGTATTTTGTAGTTTCATTTATAAGGGTTTTTAAAACATTCGCACCACTCAATTGGCCCTTCTTTAATTGTGATTTTTGCAAGTAGACCAAAAGGCGTCCGTTCAATAGCCAACAACCTGGCGAGTCTGAATTATTTTTAACATTCGCGCAAAGTATTCGTTTCCGATCGGAGTGATGTGTCAGAATTGCCTTGAAGCTGGGGGTACGCACGTCCTCCACGTATAGGCGATTTCATGGCGACTAGCAATCAATAACGTACAAGAGTTTATATTAAAATACGGGGAAGAGACTGAAATGGCTGTTTCTCACTTATCGGGTCTCATCATCCGGACTGCCCACCCGCTGTTGTCAGTTGACCGTCATCGTGAGCTGTAGGTCCTTAACCTCGACTCAAATTAGACATGCTCCTTTCCCTCCAGTAAAACGGACAGATCGACGCACGCCACTCTCATGTTACCTAACTATTCCCCCTTTTATATTAAATTATTTTCGAGAATTTTGAATGGACGGTTGTGCGGTAGTGGTGAGACAACTTTTGGTTTCGGATTTCTCGCAGCATCAGACGTGACGCCAAATATTATTAAAAGTTATAAATAGACTTCAGTGTGCTGAGCTGCTTTCGGGGTATGGTTTCGAATACCACCTTGTCTTGGCCTGCCTTTGCTCCAACAGGTTCGTGTGAAATTGCAAAAAGCACACCCATATCTCGGCAACTAACGAACCACATACGACTGAATAGTTACGACCTTGGTTGACGTGGCAGGAACCTGTAATGTACTGATGAGGGCCTCGCTGGTCTCCTGTTCCAAACTTAGCTTACAGCCTGTGCAGATAAGCCGCCGAGGGCCCTTCCAGTCGCCTGCCATCTACGGTAGTGGCCTTTTCGTTGGCAACATTTGCTCTCTACCAGGTAGGGCAGCGTTCATGAATTTACAAATAGATCCACATTGACCCAACTGTGAAAAACTCGTCGCCTCAGGGCAGCAGACGGGAAGGCTTTAGTACAGTTTGCACTCTAGCCATCCCCTTGTTGTCGTGGGTTCGAATCCCACCGAGGCGCCGAGTTTTTCATAGGTGGGTCAATATAAATTATTCAAAATTTGCCAGAACATCTATGATTTCCAAAAAATCCCGCGACCTAAATGTCTGTCAGTTTTTTTCTTTGAATTATTTAAAGCACTTCTCAGAGAAAAGGGTTTCAAATTCCCTGCGGCAATGTCCCGTCCCGTTGTCCCAGACTGGTTGCGATCCATTTCAATGAGTGGAACCGACCACCGTCAAACATAGCTGCCCTCATATGGATCGGTCGGGAAATGGGGGAGTCGTGCGAATATCAACATGCTGTTAGCCATTGTTAGCTCAAGCGAAAGTGACTATTACTATTGTAGCTTTTCCGTTATCTCAAAATCCTCCATTTTGCTGAATTGTTTTCTTCACAGTCATTGAAAAATCTCAAAAAGGATTAACCGGAATTCCTAATTGCGTTTTTAGTCAGGAAGGTTTGTCCAGAAACCATTATCAAACATACTCATTTGTGCACTTGTCTGTTTGAAGGCGTCATTTTTTCGAATCTCAGAGTCAAACAAGGGGTGTGTTTAGGTTTTTAAAGACAATTTTCAATTCCCGAATAATTTTAAATTACCCCTGCCGTTACGCTTCCGAGTAAGATTGCAAAACTAAGATTGTTTAGTTTCCATGTAAAGTAAATCATGATTTTTTCTGTGCAGCCAAAAAGATGCCATGTATTACTCATACAATTTTCAAATGGATCTGGTCTGTGTTTTGTACTTCGCAGGCAACACCAATAAATAGGCATATGTATATTTCAGGGTCTCCTATTTACAGAGACTTTTATACCGAAAGATAACCTTTTTCATGCACAGAATTTAAATATGAAGGACTTGCTACAAGCCATATACAAGAAAGGAAATGTCGTGCATGTTTTCTAGGAAATACACTAGATACGCTGTTTTATGAAATGTTTAACCGATTTTTGAAATTATATTTTTGATCCGTGAAGACTGATTAAGTAGAGTTGTAATATTGATTGCCGTGTAGCGTAGTTTCAAGATATTGCAGTCACCTCAGGACGCCAGCTTAAGAATGCACTTCTTTTCGGACAGCGTAAGTAGGAATACTTATGTCGAATTAATTTTTCCCGTTGATTTTTAATACAAATTCAATTATATTTTATGGTATAAATGCACGGAAATGGGTCTTCAAATATCCATCGATTTCCGTTACTCTCATAGATTGAACCATATTTTATTTTCAAACTAACAAACGAATTCTTTCTTGTTATCACTTATATTGAACCACATTTTTAAATCTATGCTTCAAGAACAAATATCTTTCTCAAAATATTCCTAAGCATAGGCTTTTTCAAGATCGTGAAATATCCGCCCATAAATCATCGTAGTTGTCCATTTTAATTGTTCTTTGTATAGCATGCAACAAGATCCACATCTGTTGTAGATTTTATGGGTTCCATATGACATATTAATATTGTATAGAAATGTACGACTTTCCTTGAAGTTATGAAACACAGGTTCGGAATTATTCGTGAGATTAAAAAGCTCTTACAAATCGAAAGACGTCTTTTTCAGGCATCCCATTTAAAGAAGGCGTCCTCTTCGACCGACCTAGTGCAAGAAAAAATGACTTTGTGCATGTCAATAGAAAATATATTTGGGTTTACAAAGACGTTGGTAATCAGTAGAAAAAAGGTCTTTACCGGAAACAGTTATTTTTCACCGAGTACGGTTTTCACAGGCATCCGGAAAAAAGTTTGTTCAAGAGCCGGCATCCACGTGCGACCGAAATATCTTGGGATTAAGCTAAATTCTAATCAGTATGACAATCTCAGTAAAGTCCTTGAGAGTTTCAGTTAACAAGTCATGAATTTTGTCACTGAATATAAGGCGCAAAATCCGCCTTATACGTGCCAGTGGTCTAAATCACTTTTGACTAACTCCGTCTTTGATCAATTTTCGACTGTAATATGGTATGTCACCCCGGTATGAAAACTGCCGTCAACTTCAGCCCTGACGCCAGCCGTAACCCTGCCTGTAATAGGAAACCCT